AACTTTAAATGGCATAATGCTCGAGGAGTGTATGAGTCGCATAAAAACAATGAATCTATAAAACAATGCTCACTGTTAAATGCCTCATTGCAGTACACTGGCATGGCAGCATAAAAGGAAAACTCAACACACCTTCAAAAACACCTTCAAAGCCTATTTCTGTAGAGGACAAGAGTTCACCCCCAGTTCACAAACTGAAGTGGCTTATTTTCTCCTTTACTATATCTTGCGCTGTCTAAGTCTAACACATACGCCCACGTTCTGTGCTTTTTACAGACTTCGCCACAAACATAAGACAACTGTCAAATGAGCATAAGGGACTCAGGTTTCTTGAAATGCATTCGTCTTTCAGCCTTCCACCTCTTCGCCCCAGCCTGCTTGGCACCCTCTGCAACACTCATAAAAACTTGCATGACCGCACACATATTCACACCTTCATGCATCTGTTACAGTAGACCGGGGAGTTGGCAGCCCCGCAGCATGGTTAGGTTTCCCACACCTAGAGAGACCATCAGGGTGATGGGACTTTCCATGAAGGAAACCCCTGTTTCACAAACTGTAGTATACTCTACTTCAAAGGGTGTACAGCTCATGTAGGGGAGATCCTGCAGAAAGTTTTAATGTAATATTTTTATGTCACATGTTGTGAGCTTTTTTCCCTAATTTCCAACACGTTTGATTGTCTACAGCATAACAGAGGGCACACCCACACATAAAAACACACAGTAATTATAGCTACTGATTAGTAATTTGCCTGTTTTGAAGAATCCAGACTTTGTGTCTGTTCAGTATGATGGAGACATCTGAGCAGGCTCTTCATGCATTATGTCTTGTGTCAGCATTCTGTTTCAGTCATGAAAATGTTGACAGACAAGAGCAACCGACCTCAGGGGGGGTTAAACATCATACCTCAGGCACAGGGTTTCAAGACTGCAGAAATCAGTGTGGTAAAGAGTAAGAAAAAAAAGCAAGGGCATCTAGTACAACTCTAGTCGAAACATTTGATCAAAGATAGGGATATAGATGATGGCAACAACTAAGCAATGAGTGCATTATATCAGCAATGCAGCGCAACAGATAACCTTGGAGTCTGATTGATGCTCAAATCAGGCCTACTTATATTCAGTTGGGGGTTTAAAAGGGAAAAGGATTGCTTACAAAATTGTTGAATCGCATTATTATTAGTATTATACATTATTACACTAATACACAAAAAATATTTTGAAGATTGAGTCATCTGGGTCTGATGAAATATTGACTGCATAAGATGCATACTGTATGTAGCGTCATCTAAAGAAACATATAAGGCTTGAATCTTGAGACATTGAGCATTAATGACATTAATAAATATTAGATTAAGAAACCAGAACCAATACTCTAAAGCTTTACTTCAGGTATTACTGGCACTACCATATTACCAATCAAAAAGCTATTGATTTTGGAGACTCCTAATGTTTCTTGATTCTTTTATGTCCATTTGAGGTTTGCTGTATCATCCCTCTAAATTACACCCATACCAACACAGTCAAGCCTCACTGTCCTATAATTTTCACATAAACTTACCGTAGCTTAGGTGGTAGAGAGGTCGATCCACCTGCCCTAATTTGAATGGCTGGTGGATCGACCTCCTGTGGCTGCTGGCTGCAGGCGGTGACGTCATATTTACCATAGACATCACTGTTATCATTACTTTAATCTATAACTCTCCTTTATTTCCCAAAATATCAAACTTAAATGAAATCTTTATCACGTTTTGCTATAAATGCCTCAAAGTTTAAATGTTTAAAATGGTTACAAATTGCTACTCTTATAATAACAATTTATCAAACGACAAAAGAATTATCACCTGAATCTGCAGCTGCACTCCACTTCAGCCGCAGCAGGCAGCTGTTTTCAGCAGAAAGCTCTAAAAACCCACTGTACTCTACCTGCTCAGCAACAGCAGACAGACAGAGTTCGCAACTGGTGAACATAGTGAAGCATTTAGCAGCTAAAGAGCCAGATATTTCCCTCAGGAGTTGGTGCGCTACAAGAGAGGGAATATTGGGCTTGACCTTCATCAGGTGTACAGAAACACAACTCCATTTGATTGATAATGTCGCTTAGTAGCTGGTGGATGTGTACATAAGCAACTGTAACTATTTCGAAATATAAAGGCAATGATATGTCAGGTGTGTGTTCACAACTTGTTTCCACTGCCCCCCAGCACATCTTTATATTTCCCTTTAAGTAAATCAATGTTTCACAGTTCCACGGGCAGCACACTGAACGAGATATCTCAGTAAATCAATCTTATCCTCCTCATTTCACAGTAAATTGTTTCTTTTCCCCACAGACACCTTTGTGGTATAGGTCAGAGAAGGAGGCAGTGCTTTTATAACAATAAAAGATTGAACGTGTGGCCCACAAGTTGAGCAGCGCTCACTATTGATCTGTATGTGTAGCAGTATGTAACTGAACACCAAAAGAAGCTAATACATCACTGATACACTGAGTTTGACACCAATGGAAGAAATCTATGAACTACGTGTAATAGTGTTTAACACTACATTTATTTGCAAGTTTCAAAAACACTTAAAAGATACATATTATAATTTTATTACCGTTGACATATTTATCATCTTCTAAAATATACCTTAATTTCATTCAAAATATGATCTTGTCAGGTCATAAACTGATGATTTCCCCTCACTGTGGTAAATATTGTACACTGGTTTCAATGGAACCCAGATGACAACAGTGTTTTTGTGGATATTTGCAGCCAAATAAAACCACAGTGTAGATTGTGAAGTACATGATATTAAAATAGTTGGACTGCTTGAGGCGTGATGCAACAATATGTGATAGCATGAGATGGTTTGTAAAGTGTGGAAACTCACAGGCAAGCGCGGAAATTTCATGTCACTGTTGGCGGGGACAATAAAACATCTTCTAGAGGAAGATATTTAGAAATAAAGTTGACGGACAACAGTGGTTATATATATATATTTTTTTAAATAAAATTTATTGCTAGGGACAATTCAGTAGTCGCTGGATATTGGTGGGGACGCGTCCCTAAATTCTACGCCCTTGCGAACAGGCAACTCAGACTGTATTTTTTGTCACTGAGGACAGAGCTAGAGTACTGGCCAGCTCAGCATTATGTGCAGTACAGAGAGACCACAGTGATGATGGTGCTACAAGGGCGATAGTGATACACTGTCATTACAGTGACCTGTGTACGAGACATTGTACTTCTTCCTGCTTTGCATCACATCACGGATTGCCATGAAACTTGGAACAGACATTCAAGGTGCACTCAAGATAAATTGTAAAAACTTTGGTGTTCCCCTGACCAGTCATTCAGCGCCATCATCAGGTCAATTTGAAATTGTCCAATACTTTGGTTTATGATAAAATCTGATGATTACACTTGATTTCTCATGCTTATTGAACTTATTTTCTCAAGTTCATTTAGCTCACTAATGGTTTTAAATGTTTAATACTCAATAAGATGAATCTGAACTAATTATTCAACCTTACAGTTTTAGTTGAACCAGCTCAAAATGCTTTACTGTATACCTTTTTTGTTTAGCGCTCATTAGAAAATAGCATGCTAACATTCTACACTAAGATGTAGCATGTTGAACTCTGAATGGCCTACTTTCAATTTATGAACACTAAAAGCAGGTGTATATTAACAGAAAAGTAAGGAGGTGGTTGTGGTGTACAGGTGGGCCAGAAACTGGACTTTAAGTAATTTACGTAGCTACACGTATTACTCAGATGTTTCTTAACTTCCATAAGTTATGTAACAAAGTAACATAGTTATTTTAACACAAACTACGATGTTTTCCTAAACCTAAGCAAGTATTTTTGCTAAACTTAACCAAATCGTGACATTTCACGTTACCTACAACCCTAAAGTGGTACCCAGGGCGTTAAAAAGCAATGCTAAGGGGTCTTCACCATGTCCATATATGACGAGATGGGAGTGAGAATGTGTTGCCAGCTTTTTTCCCGGTTAACTGGAAGCAAAGACCACTGACTGCTCAACAAGTTGCCTGTGCCTTCAGTCAGCTGGAGGCATGGTTTGCTCAGTCACAGTCGAATAGCCTGCTTGAAATATTGTGTGTCCCTAGCAAATCCCTGTTAAGGTTTGTCAGACCGTAATGAGTGAAGTGCAGTCAGAGCACCACGTCCTCTAATCCACATGTCACTCACTGCGTCTCAGCACCACAGCTCTCGAGACTCCAGTTTTCTCTGTGTGCTTGCCCTTCTCTGTGTTCAGCTGCAAGTGTGTACACGCTGTATATGTGTGTTTGCGACAGAGGAGACAAGGGCATCAGTCAAAGTCGGGGGGTGGAGGGTGACAACTTCATAAGCAGTGATCGGGTTCACTCACACACATGGAGAGAAAACCTAAAGCGCTGTTAAGTGCCGGTCTCACCTTTCATAGTGTGAGGTGCAAGAAGATTCTCCATCTGGACTGGGCTGACAAACTGAATTCTCCTGTGGTATTTCAGACACAGCAGAAGACTCAGGTGACCTGGTAAACCCTTGCTGAGTTGGCCTCTGGCCCCGTGCCCTTCTTTCATCTGCAACATTTCAATGATATCACACAAATAAAATGGCAAACACTGATATGGACACCACACTGGCTGTTCTGTCCATCTGTCCCTTCCCTTGCTGGTCTCCTTTATTCTAATATTTCCTTAATATCTTCTCTCAACACCATCCTTCTACGGTGTCTATCTCTCTCTCCACCTCCGCCACATCTCCTTCTCCTCCCTCCCTTTGTCACCCCTCCTCGACTGTCACCGATTCACTCTGTCACTCGTCACCCCCCTCTCGCATGTCCTGGTTTCCTGCTCCATTTCTAGAGTGTCACCAGTGTAATACGAGAATGTCTCTGTGTTCTCTCTCTGCTCTCTAGCGACCTTGTTTTTAACCTTGTCCACTCTCTGTCCTTCTCTTCCTTCTCTGTCTCCCTCCCCTCTTTCCCCTCTTTTATCCAACAGCCGAGATGGCAATGAGCAGCATCCTCAACGCTGATGACATCAAGAAAGCTCTAGATGCATTTGCAGGTAAAGGTCTTGTTGAGGATAAATCCTGGGGTTCTGGAGTAGCCTAGCGTAATGAGCTGATTGCAGCTGAGTGGACCGACACTCTGCTGTGTTTTGTCTCTAGTGGACCAAATGTGAGCTGGATCTGGACCATGTATGATCTCCCAGATTTGGTTAGATCTTGGGGATATGGACTGTGTATGATTTGTTCTGAGAATCAGCACAGAAGCTGATGTTGAATGCATTACTACTGGTTTTAGACTGGACCAGTAGTACCTGTTCCCCCTGTCACAGTAGACCTATGTTGACCAACAGTTTTAATTATTTCATCTTCGTTTCAGATGAATCATATTTTGTCCATCCATTTTGGTATGGCAGATGGCTAAAAATACTACAGTACCCATGAGCCTCAGCCGCATAGCTGTTAATCTTTTGTACTGAAGAGTTTCATGCTGGTCAACGCCATGAAAGGGCTCCAACAGTGAGTTGCATAAAACTGTCTATAGGAAAAATGAATGGGACTTTCACTTCTGGAACAGGGGGCTCCTGAAATAGCTCCTCCAACTTTGCGGCTCAACTCACTGATCAAAGACCTTGATTAAAACAGTTGAAAAAAAACAGATAAAACTTACTTTCACAAGCTTATGAATGGTTTTTTGAGCTTCTTTTGCATACGTGTATGACTGTAGTTAGTGTATTTGCATGTTATAGACAGACAGAGGAGATAGACAGAGCTCCATGACCCAGAACGGATTGCTCCTCTGGCAAACACATGTTCTCAATTTATATCTGTCACACTGTTAGAAGGCTGCCTTATTACAATTAAAATTTTGCCTTTGGGCCTCATCACCCAGATCAACACAGGACAAACAACTTTCAGCAACTTAAAGTTACTTAAAAAATCTTTGGTGTCCAACAGAAAGTTTTTTCTGTTTAAAATTCAATATTAGAAGACCCTTTAAGTGAGAGTAGTTGAGAAACACGTTGTCAAGTGTCAGTCAGTAGGTGTCACAAGGAGCAACCAAGGTGGACATTTTGGAGTGCTGGCAAAGTGCAAAAATTTCGTATCACTGTGCTTGCATGCCTGTGTGCCCCCTTGTTTGTGTGCGTACAGTTGCTGGCTCCTTTGACCATAAGAAGTTTTTCGACATGGTGGGTCTGAAGGCCAAGTCTTCTGATGACGTGAAGAAGGTCTTCACGGTGCTGGACGCCGACAACAGCGGCTTCATAGAGGAGGAGGAGCTGAAGTGAGACAAACATTCACACAGATACACACATGATCCCTATGCAGCACATACTGTGACATAGATCCGTTCTGGTTTTCTGTCCCCGGCCAGATACGTCCTGAAGGGTTTCACCAAAGATGGCAGGGACCTGACAGACGCAGAAACCAAAGCATTTCTAAAAGCAGCCGACAAGGATGGAGATGGCAAGATTGGAGTCGATGGTAAATATCAAATTCCATTAGTGGCAGCGTCGTACCAATCAGCATAAACGAACAAATACACACACACACACACACAGACGGACTGTTTTCATTCACATTCACATTCTGCAGTGTTTAGTTGTGTACCACATGTTTATTTATTGTTCATTTATTAAGATGTTCAATCTGTTTTGAACTTTTTTAGTGAATGTTTCAGATTGCAACGTCTATAACTAGGCGACTGCACAGTGCATTCATATTCAGTAGTTAGTTTGAATTTCCATGCCAAAGAAACAAACCGAAATTTTACAGGTACCTTCATGCAGTAAATTGACATCACTGTTTATTTGACATTGTCATCAGGTGTCCAGATTAACTGAACCACAAGGCATGTAGTATTTTAAGCAATCTAAGTATGTTTAAAGTTGCTCAGAGAGTAGACAGAGGAGCTGATGATGAGGAACAATTATAATGTTTTAACTTTGTGCATTAGTAGAACAGGTTGGGTTGTGTTGAACGTAAAATACAGTAAAGGTTAATGCTAGATTATATGATAAATTTAACTTTACCATAGATCATCATTTAGAGAGATAAATTCAATCCCTAATGACTAAAGATCCACATCTACTGTTTCTCAAAAGAATATAAAGATAACCGGATTTTTGTTCTCTGCATATGGGAAAACCCACCTTTATCATTTTTATGGTGCACATGAGGCACATGAGGCATTTTGATGTAAGTATTCACCCTTTTTCGTGTAGTAAATTTCATAAGGAAAGGGAAAATTAAATAAAAATCTGTGGTATGGAAAAATGAAAGACCCTCCTGTGCCGTTCCAAAAATGTCAGACCACACTTAATTCTGCAAAAGAAAATACACATAACCCTCCCTCTTTGTGACCCTGCCTTCGCACCCTTAGAATTTCCACACAGTCCTTTACTTTTGAACAAATTGTGTACACTTTATATTACTGTTGAGCATTTTCATTTTCCAAAGGATACCATAACTTTTTAGTGTTTTTAAGCTGAAGACATTTTTTCTGCAGTGGATCTTTAAAGAGCAGAAATACTTTTTCTTCCTCTCTTGCAGAGTTTGCTGCCCTGGTGAAAGAATAAACAGTCACCCCGTGTGAATGCCTAGCACTCCAAGATCAACCCCTAACCACATCCTGATCCCACCCACCCCCCTCACCAGCACCTACACCTCACCACCCTACCCTGACTCCCAGCCTACCAGACTGCAGCCAATTAGTGCACTCCTCTTCCTCAACCTCTCCCCCACTGCTGTATTCACTAAGTGCATTGCTGCACTATAGGAAGTAAGCCGTGGTGTGCACCCCCTCACACAGACACACACACACACGCCTCCTCAAATGTCCCCACAGCTATATTCATCCTATTTATTTTATCCTTTTTATACAAACTTCTTGTTCTTCTGTTAATGTATAGATAAACATGCCTGCAGGAATGAACCTCACATTTTAAAGCATAACGTAGATATTTAATGAAAATAGAGATAGAAAGACCCTCATTTCCTTCTGTATTTCTGACTTTACCCTCTTTCTTATCGCTTCATTTTCTATGCCAGCACCTCCGCTCACTTTTTCTTTCTCCCCTTTTTCTGTTTCTCTCTCTCTCTTTTCCCTTCCTGCATTCGCGGCCCTCTGTCCCTCCAACACAACTGCCCCATCCATCCATCCATCCACCTATCTATCCATCCCTTTATCCTCTGGTAATGAGCTGTTGTAAAACATACCAAAAGAAGAAAGAGGTCAAGCTGTGAAAGAATCAAATAAAAAAATACAAAGCCTCGAGAACACTGACTCACTGATAGTCTGTTAATTCCTTCCTTTGAGGTGATTCTTCTATCTGATTTTACACTCAATCAGTTCTTTCCTTCTTTTCTCTTTTCTGCTGTCACTTTTACTCTTATCAAGCAAAAACGAGTGAAGCATATCTTAGCAGCAACCTAATAACATATAAAGGGGTGCACTTTGAAAAGCTATTGTTCATAAAAAGGCCAAATTTACCCTTCAGTGTCATGTGAGTGTTCATTAGCATTGACTGTGTCATCTAAGCAGTGACAGGAGAAGAAACTGCATAAAGACAAACTGTGCAATTACAGATCACTGAGGAGTCTGTCTCTGGCAGAGTTTGCTTCGCAGTCCATACTACATTATGAATGTAACTCCACTGAAAGAGAAAAAAGAGGCGGAGGCCACATTATCCCACTTGCCAAAGTGTCTTTATTCAGAAATGCCGTGCTAGTTTAACTGAACCATGCTGTCAAGCCATTAGCAGAATTGGATTCACACTGAGGTTCAATTTGGGTTAAGTATCCCCAGCGGAGAACCCAAACTGGGAATCCTGATCTTCTTTAGTAGGCCGTTTTACTGCCTGAGCAAATAAACACTGAAGCTTAGAGGCTATCACTTGAAAAAAACAGACAAGCACAGAACTGTTCAGTTCAGTGTGACTCAAACAAGCTCACTATTGGTCCCAACAGACCATTAAGATCAGTGTCAATCACAGGAAAGAGAAATGGCCACTGGAGAGAGAGACAGGTTTATAGGAAGTGGCTGTGGAAAAAAACATGTGACAAAGAATTACTCAAAAGCAGTGAAGCGAAGTGTCAAAATGTTATATATCCCTTTAATATATACATGAAAAATGCTTTTTTCTGGAAAAGTCAAACCAATCAGAAGTTAACCCCCCCCCCCCCCCCCCCCCCCCCCCCCCCCACACACACACACACACACAGACCTGATGAAGCAGGTCCACTTACTCACTTTCTGCTATACATACTGCTATTTCTGAGGGCAAGAATAAAGTCCTTTGAATAAAGAAAAAAAGAGTCAAAGAGATTGGGAAATACATATTGGGGAAAGAGAAAAATAAAGTTTGGAGAAAGCCGATGTCAGAAGATGCTCTGGTCCTAAATAACATCATTGAATCCAACAGTAAAGGTTATAACAAGAGAAATGAGCACTGCATTTCAAACTACACACACACACACACACACACATACACACACACATACACACAGTCCTGATGAAGCAGATCTGTGTAAAATTCTTAACAAATTACATCTTAGAGTGTTTTTTCCTGAACTTTAGCTTTTATTGTTTCTTATTTAATAGTCAATATTTAAATTGTCAGGGGCTTCAACTGATAATGTAATACCTGTATCTTTTATTATGTAATAACTTACATTGTTACTGCTGCATTATAGATCAATACTTTCATTATGCCGTCAGGAAAATATGCCACGGGCAAATCAAGTGAGGCACACTGGCTTAAGTAATTATATGATGCTATAAAGATGGTATTACATTATCCATGAATGCACTGCATTTTTCATTACATTTCTGGCTCAGACATTTTATCCTAATTTTTTTTACAATATATTACATTATCTGTCAGAGGTTACATTTTCATTTTTTACAATCCATTTTCCAAAGTAAATTAGTAATGCAATTAATATGTATTTTTGGACTTAATTCAGTAGACCAGGTAGAGAAAAATGGTTGAGATGCAATACGATGGATATAAAACCTAAAACCCAAAAACAGATGATGTAAGCAGCTGTGCAGTCCATGGCATCATGCATGCATCCCTGAGCTATAAATGACAGATAACAAAAGGTCAATTTTGTTGCACACCAACACGTTTTTAGCCCTGATTCCTATAGTCGTCTGTACACTACAGTAATCATTTATTTCCAAATGGACAATACAAAAATCATTCACATGTCAGAATGTCAATGCCATTGAAAAAGCATTTCAGAGAAGGACTGATGATTTAACACCCGGTAAGATCAAAGTAGTTATTAGTTTATGCCACGTAAACACATTTGTCACGGAAGAATCAGTGATTCATTCCTACTATTTTACAAATCACAAAGACAGTGCCAATTATGAAAAAGACTACAGAAAAACACGAATAGATGTTGGCTGTTGGTTTAAAAATATATATGTACACATACAGATCTACAGAACCCAAGAAGTCTGAAATATTTAGAAAACATTTCATCCTCTTTCTCCAACTATGTATGGATCAATGCAGAAGATCAATTCAAACAGAGGACTGTCAGAAGTATGAAAACACTAGTTCACAAAAACAACCTCCAATCAAGGTCCACTTACTCACTTTCTGCCATACATACTGCTATTTCCGAGGGCGAGAATAAACTATCAAGCTCAATGAAATTTGTATTTGTTTCAGGGTTAAGATGTCATCTCCGATATAAACGTGGGGCTGATCTGTCATTGGTGGACGTGGGCTTCAGCTTCACTGTGGCAAATGGGTTGGTACCCCTTCGAATAAAAAAAAGAAAAAAAGAGTCAAAGAGATTGGGAAATACATGTTGGGGAAAAAAAAAATTCAGAGACAGTTTGGAGAAAACCAATGTCAGAATATGCTCTGGCCCTAAATAACATCATTGAATCCAACAGTAAAGGTTATAACAAGAGAAATGAGCACTGCATTTCAAACTGTACAAGCATCATCTAGCGAACTGTTCACCTGTAGTGAGAGTGAGAGTCACGGTTCCCAAATGGCTATAACTGAAATGGTTTCAGTACTAAACTGCACTTCAAACTGTAATGGAAGGAAAGCAATTCTGTGCCATCTAGATCACTGCCCTCATATGTTGCTGTCTGATTTAATGGGTTCGTGACATACTTCAAAAATATCATTAGCTTCCGTAGAAGAGAATCTGAGTGGCTTCCATTTAAACATTTCACAACCTGTCTGCGCTTTTTAAAGCGGAGCCACAGTTACATTAATCTTACCTTGGGAAGAGTTCTGGTGGTGATCCGTGTGGTTTCGATCTCTGTAGAAAGTAATATGAAAAAGGCATGGGTGAGTGAAGGCCGATCCAAACCACAAAATGTGGACACATGCACTAATGGAGACTCAGCAGGCCCTTGACCCCTTGCCCTTCTGCTTTCAGTCGGTCCTCCCACAAGCTGCTCATTGATGTGTTGTGCCAAGCAGCCCCACACACACTCCAAAATGTGTCCAGTTGAAACAAGAGAGCAACAACAACAGAGCCCATGCAGAGACATCAAGGGAAAATGCATCAATGTCACAATGAAAAAAACATATAATAAATAATAAATCTGTTTTGTCATTTGCATTGTTGACTTTAGAACATGTTTCAGAGAAATACTTTGCAGCGTCACAGAAGCAGCCAACATTTCCAGTATGAAGATGTCCAAGACCTCAGTAGACAATTCATGAGCGAATTGCCACACTGAATGAATTATGAATATACTGAATATGAAATGTACGTGTAATGCATGAGTTGTGACTGGTGGAGGGCCTGCCTGCCTGTTAAAATCTCAATATATGTCCCTGACAGAAACAGAAATGCTACTCAAACCCCTGTGTGCTTGAATAGCACCAAAGAGAAAAGACCTTGACAGTAATATCACACTGCAGTAACCCAAAGGTTATGTACCAGGCCTATTTAGTCACAAGGACTTCAAATAGGTCTTCACTTTAATAGTCTCAAGTTACAGCATGCTAAAACAAGAGCACACACATGCACACCACCTCCTCGCCCTTACACCGTCAGCAGCTGGAGCTTCCTCCCTGCATCCACCAGAAAGAGGGGTGAGGTGCCATTGAGAACAGCACCTTGCCGCAGTGCCCCTGCTGGACAGACTGGGAAATACCATCAAAGATTTACATGCTGGACTACATCTCTCATCAGAGATGTCCCTAATCATTTTGTTTGTTGACCGAAATAAACGTCTCTAATCTCTTTGTCCCTGCTTAGGGTGATGTGAAATGATTCCGGGGAACCTTTTGATAGTGAAGCTAATTAAATATTGACATATCAGAGGAACGTAATATATATTGACAGCAACTAAAAAAGCCAAAACAAACCCACTGCCGAACAGTACCACTTTCTAAAAAGACACCTTGCATATGTGAAAAATTTGCTAATGCTCTATAGGTCAGTAAAAAAGCCACTAATACGAACAGCTTTTGGGTTACCAGGTGGTAAAATCTGTCTGAACATTTATTTCTAGAACAGGGCAACAGAAGATCTGCATATGAATCAATTTATTAATAGCTTATTAACACTGCAACAGCAGACTTGATGGATGAAATCCCTTTATTAATGATTTACCAACATTAATAACTGCAGACTAGTTTATTAGAAAGTGAGAAACCTTTCTGAATGGATAACCACCATTTAAAACTGTATTACTACCAAGGATAAACACCAACCAACCTTGTGACCCAAAAGGTGTTCTTATTGATGGGTTATAACTAATCTACAAAACATTGGTGAATTATTTATTAACCATTAAAAAAGCCACTCGTTGCAACTTATAAAGGTGCCTTATTAGAAAGTGGTCCCCAATGTCTACAGAAGAAGAAAAATACAATGAGATCTCAGCAAACTACATTTCAGTGTCCATTCATAGACCATGCTTAAAAAAGACTGATAGTCTTTTAATAGAGAGGGAGAGAGATATTTGATTGATGTCAGCTACACTGATCAATAATCAGATGGAGTGATTGATGGGCATACCTTGTTTCCTGAATTAGACTCAGCACTTCTGTCAGGAGTCGGTGTGACTGGTCGCATCTCAGATTGTTTATTTGAAGATAGATTTGGTGGTGGAGGTGGAGGGGGCGGGGCTCCACTGTGGCTGCTGCTTCCCGGTTGGTCGAGCAGGTTGCTCATGCTGCTACTGCCTCGGAGAGTGGAGTTACTGAAATTACCACAAAATTCCATTGTAAACGGAGAAAATTCCATAAAGTAAACACAGAGCTCACTAGACACCTGAGCTTTCTTTCCTCTGTTCATACTTAAAGGATATTAGATTTTGACACAAAACAAATATGACATGTAGTTAATAAGTTAGTTTCTGAAGTATGTGAGATTTCACAACGAATACATGTGTGCAGTGCATTTGATCAACATTACCATTCACATTTTAGGCATTTAGCTGTGGCATGTCCACAGTGAGTGGGCAAAGTTTTAGTTTAAACCCCTTACTGGTTTTCCTCACAGCAATGGGTCACCCAAATATCTTAAATAGTCCATGTTATTATTCCACACCACGAGTTTCATGCTGACCTTCTTTTATAAATGTTGGGCCCATAAAACAATAAGGACGGCCTGGGGGAGCTGCAAACCATATTCTGTATCAGCTTTTAAAGGGAAACATTATGCAGAAGGTTTAGTCTTTGGATTAACATCTCTCCATTTGTTCTTAATGGCTGCAACACACATATATATATCATTTTAATGAAGTAAATTCATTACGGAGAGTAACATGGGTGTAGCTGTAGTTCTGTTTGTAGTTCAGAAATGCATGAATAGCATGCGGCAATCTTCAGGTCTGAAAAGTGAAGTGCCTTAAACCTGCCTTCTTTCTAATGACCACGAGGTGATGACTCCACAGTTGCAAAAAAAAAAATAGATTATTTAGATGTCTATGAGAAAATGACCCTACTTCTCACCTATGTATTATCTCAGTTAACACTTTCCCAATGCGTTTATGGTCTTGATTGCTAGTTTTAAGTCTTCTTTGAATCAGTGTGATGTTCATTTTGTAAATTGTGAGGCGTCAAAACAGAATCCCCCAAACCAATGTCTGACGTACACGCTGGCTACGTCCACTTCTTTTATACAGTCTATGATAACTAGAGGTACATTTTTGTCTACCTGCTTGTCATGTAATTATGACTAGCATGATTTGCTACGGCAACTTGCTTAGCAGAGTAACCAGTCAGAGCCAATTTATGACGAATCCCACTCTTCAAATCGTGGATACTCAAAATGCTCAGTAACATGTTAGACTGAGAATTTTGTTACAGTTGGACAGAGCCAAGCAAGCTGTTTGCCCCTGTTTCCAGTCTTTATGCTAAGCTAACCAGCTGTTGGCTATAGCTTCCTATTTATGGTGGACCTATCTTTCCTAGTGTTTTGCTATGATGTCTGGCATAGTAAGAGTCAGTAAGGTATAAAAATATGTTTCTTTAACAGTCTGCACTCAGCATGACATGATGTTATTCGGCAGTCATTCTTGTTTTATCGGATGTTTACCCAGAGCTGGTTGTCCTCGGAGGATCATCCACTGCTTCCACATATGAGGCTGGAAACCATCCCTGACTGAAAACAAAAGAGCCAGAAAGTAAAGATGGCAGGTTAGTGGATTAGGCGTTAAAATTACACATACTTAAATGAATTAGTGAGGACAAATAACACTTTGTCATTCAAGTTAATGTTTGCGGTTGTTGCCATGATAATATCAGCCGGCTGATCCACCACGTAGGTCTGGAATGAAATATATCAACAACTATTGCCATGACATTTTGTAGAGATATTCATGGTCCCCAGATGATTGTGTCTATGTCCTGGGATTGACACATCTTTCCACCCCATCCACCTGTTTACACCGTCTTACAGCCACTCTGAGGTCGCTGCCACAATAAACATAATATTCTATCGTGCATGTTACGATATCGTAATATCGTAACATGCTTCAACTTTTATGGCCGTTTTTCTGGTGAGGACAGGCTGAACAATTGCCATGCTATCATACAAATACAAACTAACAAGAGAACATCACTCACCGTGAAGTGCTGCCAGCGCGTCCATACAGCCAGCCATTCTTCGGCTGATGGACCAGCGCAGTGATCATCTCTCCTTTGCTGAAGGGCAGCAGGGTGGGGTTGGAGCCACCGGGCTCGTGGGCCACCAGGGCCTTCATGGATCTGCCTCCACCACCGCCCACCACTGACTCAGCTGTAGAGCGAGAAATGCTTCCCTGGGGAGACGGGGCTGGAGAGATTACAAATGAAACACATGGACAGAGAAAACAGTTTGTAACGGCAAAGAATGATTAATCAAAAAAATCTAAACGATTGTTTGTCTCTAAACGTAAGAGCTATTTACAGTTGTTTATTGTCTTTTCATTACTTTATCTAGTTTTACTCTAGATAAGCAAGCCAAATAATTAGACAGACTTTCTGCAGAGGGAAGTAGCCTACAAATGAGGAGGTATGAAAGTGCATGATGTACAAAATTATGACGAGGGAGAGAAAGATGGACGAGAGAGGGAAACCGAGATAACAACTAAAGAATGACAGAGCGGGTGGTAGAAGGCAAAATGAGCAGTGATATACAGACAGATAAATTATGCGATACAAACTGTACTTTTTAGAAATACTTTCACTCTAAAACTGGCAATGTGGCCCCAAAGTAAAAACTAAATCTTTTTATGATATTGTTTTTAGGTGTTTTGAGTACTTGAACAGAGAAAAGGATGGTAGTGTAAATGTATTTTCTGTGTTCAAACATGGTGCCAGTAAAACTTTGCTCTCTTTACTCTTCACTCAGAATAAATACAGAGCTTTGTAATGAAGCCTGCTTCATATTACAGAAACCACTCACCCCTTGAAGGTATGTTGCCGAGGGTCAGTTCGTCTCGGCTTTTTCTGATCTCCTCCTCCTTCATCCTCACCTGTACAACCAAGAACACATTACATGCACAAAGGCACAAATTAGCTTGATCTGTGCAGAGTTGTAATGTTAATATATCTGTGCAAACATCAGGAAATACCGAATTCATATCTGAATAAACAATAATCAAAAGCAGCAGCCCAAGAGTGAGCAGTTAATGTTATCTTACATAGACAGGTTTAATGTGGAGGATGTGTTGGATCTACCGTATGTTACAATGAGTAATGTGTAGGCTAGCACGTGTGATTGCAGAAGCGCAACTCAAATATCTGTGTAAAGTCTCTGCTATAAGCAAGAATAAATCCCTCGTCAAACCAAAATAAACACAGAATCCATATTAATCCTCTGATTGTTATTACTGTAGGGTGTGGGATCTGTGGGGTTCATCGGCACGTCACCTTCCAATGAGGAACAGGCTGAAACTGAGGGTTTATCTCAGGGGCGTCTTCATTGTTTACTTGCTTTTTTGCATCCTTCATGCAAAGTACCATATGGCATCAGACTGTGAATGATCCATGATGTTAATCTCACTGTTTTGAGATGCAGTTGTCTGAATTCATACTTAATGAGGCTTAACATTTATTCAGATGACGTGTATGGCTCAGATTTCGATAGACGATAGTATTTGGACAGGAAACAAAGTACTTATCTTAATTTATCCTTATCATGATCACATATTACATTATTCATGCCAGAAAATCTGTAATCTCTGTCAGCTACAGGTTTAGCAGTAGCTGAACCTGTAGCTGACAGTAGCTGAAGCGAAGAAAGCTTCCCTTTAACAGCACAATGCCTCATGCCAGAGGTGTGATCATTCTGATGGTTTCAAATAAAATCAAGCTCCAACCAGCAGAGGGCTCCCTGGTAACAAAAATACTATTGTAGTAATTCACTGCTTTCCCTATAACCATACTGTCTATGTACAAGTATTATCCATTTCTTGGTGCAAGGTCACACCCAGATCCATCATAATGTACTTTTTAATCAAATTTTTTCTTTATAAATTTATAAAGGTTCAGACACAAGATATTTCCCCTTTGTCAGGATTATATCTCACACCAACAGCGTATTCTTTGAGTTTTGAAAGATTTAAATGCAACCCAGCTCCGACCCTGCTTGAATAATTCAGTAAACACAAGTGATTTCTGCAAACTCCCCACTGAACTCACAGAGTTGTCCACATTAGTGGGTCGCCTGGTCTCTGGTCCTCTGGTGGCATTCACCTCCTCTGTCCAGGAATCAGCTCTCTGCTGCAGCGAACCTCCTCTCTGCCACACACACAAATGTACAAAGAAACTTTAAAAAATGCCATTAAGGATTAATAGAGTTACAGCAGTTTATGCTTATGCATATATAATATATATCCACATATAACAAACAGTGGACTGCTTCAATTTATAGTATGTAAATGTGAGTGAACGTCCTCCACCATTTCTATTACACTGATGTCTCTTTGTATTTGTGAGATACAAACCTGTACTGGTCAAACCGCGTAAAGCTGTAGAATTAAAGGTATTTATGGAAGCTCATTTCTGTAATTAAAAAATGCTCCTGATAAGTCAAAACATTTATATATTTATCATAATTTTGACTTAATATCTCATCATTTTACATTTTAACTCACAATTCTTACTTTTCATGAGCTGTTATTTTTTTTCATGACTAAATTTGCATCAATTTTATTTTCCAGGTGGGAATGGCCTTCCATAGTTACCTATTTCATTTAAACAAAGTTGATTATTTGTGTTAATTATCTGGTAAGTTCTTTTAGACACCATGCACTGTTCAAACATTCTCATGCACAATGAGGCACAGTAGTTATTTGCAGGCCTCTCTTCACATGGGAGCAGTATAAGATATCAGAAGATCATATTTATTGGAATGAGCCTTGTATTTACATAGTTATCTCCAGTAGTCCAGTTTAACACAAGTATTAAAAAGGAAAATTTTCTTTGGGTGGCCCACAGGCCGCTATTTGGCCTGTAAAGTACAGAGAGTTAAACAAACAAGCACATCAGTCCTAAACCACTGGTGCAGTCTCAGAGGGCTTCATTATGAGATCCAGTGTTGGTTTATTGCATGAAAGTTGTCAGTCACAGTGAAATGTTTACAGTAATTGGGTGAGTACAGTGATGTGATAAAAAGTAAGCAGGAGCAGTCCAAAGTTCAAACAGATGACCTGCTAGTGTGGCAGCCGTACAGCTGAGGAAACTCGCTTATCTGTGGTTGACGCGTGTTATAAAAGAGAGGACTTTCCCTAAGGGGGCCGATAAAGTCTCACATAATCATTACACGTTATTGTGAATTGTCTTTCCTTTCATTGTCCTTCTCCTTTGTATGGCAAACCCGCCCCATCTGGCAAACGAAACAAACCCATAAAATATTGAATAAAAAAATTGTAAGTAAGTTGTATACTTTATTCATGAGTTGGGCAATGGACTGTATCAGGCCACAGTGTTTCTCAGCCAGGAAGCGGTGTCGTCTCTCCTCCTCCTTCAGCGCCTCGCTATGGCTCTCCCTGAGGAACTGCACATACTCGCTACAATCCTGAGGATATACATAGTCAGTACATATAAACACTATACAAGGACACCCACACATTAGTGCTGAATTTTTCTCCCAGGTGCCGAAAGAGAGAAACACACAAACCTGGTTGGCTCCTCTCCTCAGCTGTCTTTCGAGAGCTGCTGCCTGGTTGTGGACTTCCATCTCAAAGTACTTCCTACTGCCCTGTACGACAGAGAATTCACATCACGTCTGTGTAAATACATTCCAGTTATCCAGCTGCTGTAGGACAATATCAGGTCAAAATTAGCAATCCAGTGGAAATGAAGACGAAGATGTTTTCCCATTAATTCTAATGGCTTCTTCAGTTTTAAAGCCTGATTGTTTATCGTCTGAGAGGTAAGTGAGCTATGTATCAATATTCATTTATCAGATAACTCACTCCAGGGCAACACAAACTACGATTAGGTTCATAACAACTTTGGTGATACCTCGCATTAATTTTACTTTTTATAACCGGAAATAATTTCTGAGTGCCCTTTGACTTTGTAGTTCCCCCGCTTGGCCCTCACTCACTGATATGTAATCTTTGTCCAGTCTAATGTTATTGTCCATCTCCTGAAGAACCTCCACACTGAACCAGCGGAACTGGAAAGAGACACACACAATCATATTAAACCCATGAGGAAATGTAGCAGATAAGAGTTTGATAAAGAGTTATCATGGACAGATAAGCATAGTGTCAATGTAACTTACTACTCCCTCCAGCTCCAAGGTCAGTCTCCTTTGGCTCTCAGCGATCTGAATCAGGACATCTCCTTAAAGACAATAGCATTACATGTCATATTATACTAAATACGTTACAAGAAAACAATAGAATGCATGCAACATTATTTAACCTTTCCCCTTTGTTCATTTTGCTGGGATCACAAGGAACTCACAGATAAGGTTGTTCATTTGTTATCACAACTGAACTTTTATCATGTGTCACTGAACTCAGTTTCCCAGGAATCATTGAAAACATAGTTATGGATATTATATTTCATTTCTGTCAATAGACCCTCCTAAATATTACACACTGGACCTTTAACTGTACAGACACACAGTCTTTGCATGCTAACTTACTCCTTTTAACTTGGCACTGTTACACAGATCACATAAGCATAAAACTATACTGATCTTAGCACGTTAGCACGTTGTGCGGGGTGACTTCAGTAATTCAAGCAAATAAAAGCCCAAGCTATTCATTGAAGTTTTACTGTGAGTATATTTCACGAGACTGAATTAGGTAGTTGGCTCAATCAATTTTCTCTTGTTTAAGAGTAGTGTACTGAGGTGAATATAACTTTAAGTTATCTTCTATTATTATGTGTTGAATAACAGCAATAATAATAAAAAAATACATTATTTTATAGAAATCTTGTTTAAACACACACACACACACGTCATTCTCAGGTGAAGAACATTAAAACCTTTGCTCCCCATATAGATTTACATGGTTTAATTTTCAAAAAACACCATATTTTTTGTCATACTGCACATTGCTACAGCGCCTCCTCTTTTCACCCTGTGTTGAAGGCTTCACTTTAGCTGTGGAGTGATACATCTTGTCTCTAAATGATAGCCAATCAGAAGCAGAGAACGGCGGGTCAGTGAGAAGCAGGGCTTCGGTTCAGCTGTACATGTTGCCGACCAGCTTAGCAACATAGACTGGAGCAAGAGTTTCAGAGTGGTGAGTTATTAATCTGTAACAAATGTATCTTTTATCCATAAAGTTTTAACTGAGCTGTGTCTCTACATCACAGTAACAACTTTATGTCCATTGACTGCCTGGAGGGTAGCTAGTGTTTGGAAGGGAGAGGAGAGGTGTGTGCTGCAGCTCAGTTTTTTCCTCCGGTGTCTTTGAGCGTTTGTCGGAGTAGCCACTTGGCGAGGGTTATATGACGCACATTTTGCTTTCATCCCTGTGACGTCACAGGGATGAAAGGGAAACGACTGGACTACAAACGAGCTGTTTTCAGTCAGTTCAGAGCAGTGTTGAGGGTTTTCTGTGGGAGATGGGAACTCCCTTTGAGGTGGACTTTGGGCTTTTTCACTTTGCAAACCAATTCCATGCACAAAAATATATATAACACAATAAAGAAAAAGTTTTTTTTTATATGTATAAAATGCATAAATAGAACGGAAAAAGCCAAAAAGCATAATTTGACCTCTTTAACCCGACTCAAAGAGAGGCACAAGCTGGGGCTATATTATTATGATTTGTTGATTTAGTTTTTCTGTGATCAGTATACTGCTAACCAAACTAGCCAATATGCAAGCTATCTGTATTACTAATTTACTATTGGGATAACTGTTAAGCATTTTACTGTTCTGACTCATTACTATGCTGTGATTCTTAATAGTGTTTCCATGACATGAGGGCCAATATAACTCGACAGCTAATCTGTGCTTCTATTAATCCAGTGTCCTTGTTCCTGTGCCAGTTCATTTTTGCACAGCCTTTCATTTATTTAGATGTTTATGACCTATGATGATGTTTATGGAAACTATCATTATCTATCATCAAATAATTTGCCAAATAGTGTAGTGACAGTTTTACAATTGCCTCCAGTAAAAGGCCAACACGCTGTCTTCAGATGCTACTAGAACTTTAGCTCCCTGTATAGCTGTGCACCTACATACATAGTGAGGGGCAGAAGAGGGACCTAAATATTTCATAAAATCTCAAAAAATGTTTCCAAAGCAGTAGCAGCTGCCTGGGTTCAAATCTAGCCCAGGCCCTTTGCTGCGTGTCATCCCCTCTCTCCCGAGCCTTTCCTGTCTCTGTCTACTGTCACTATTGCCCAAAAAAAGCTTTACAATGCCATAACATCATATTCATCATATCATCATATAGTAAATGTTTAACTTCTTAAGTTTGACTTGTCACTGTCCCTGAAATGCATGCTGGGACCCATGTCCTGACTGTTGGGTAAGAGTAGACTAATTATCCAGTTTGGACGATGTCGTCAACTCCACCCTTTAGAGTGGCTGGGTTAAGTGAGCGGCGCACGGCCCACTGCCTGTCATCGTCTATTATTTATGTTACCTGTTGCCATTTGATAACCACTCTACAAACACCCTTGACTTGAACTCACATGATAACCAGAGACAAGCATGTACTGTGTTGCAATTTAAATTTAAACCTAACTGTTGCCGTAAGTACAAATCTAATCAGACAGTTCTGCAACGCTCTTGACTTGACCTGAGCCCAATACAAATCACCTCAGTCTGATCTATAGGTAAAGGTATTTCAGTCTTTATACACCCTGACTAGATACTGTAAATACATTAAATCAATAACTTCTCACAGTATGTCTTACTTAAACATCAAAGACTGCCCTAATCACACACACACGTTACATGTGTTCTGGCTGAGAAAGGAGTAATAAAGTGCCGTCTGAGGGTAAACTTTGGTCTCAATGACAGAGAAGTTTAATAAATGGCCATAAATAAGATGCTCACATCCTGGATTGTAGATACAGAAATAGCTTCTTTGTGTTTCCACTCAGTAATGATTAGATTGCACAAGCCCAGCTGTGCATGAATACATGGTCACACATACCCAGAGAACGTGAGGACATGGTGTGAAAAGCCTTCTCTCCAATCTTTGAAAGTGCGCTGAAGTAGGCCTCACTTGTCACAGCAAGAGCTGAAACACATACAGACACAACAGCATGTTAAATTTGCAGTTAACAAAGCACAGTAAAGTCCAGTTAAAGCTAGATGCTGAGATAGCCACAGCTAGCCACAGCTCAAGCTAAATTTACTTACCCCCATTTCTTTATTTAAATCTATTAAATTTGAAATTATTAATCATGTTGATTTTAAGGTATAATTATTAACAAATTAACAACACAGTTTAACAGTTTTACTGTTATCAGTTTGACCCCAGTTAAATCTTCATCCTCAGTAACTTGAGCACAACATTAGATCCTTGTTCTGGTCTTTGTGACTTCAGTAAGCGTTTGCTGGATTTTTAGCAGGCTAGCTACAGCCAATGCTAACCAGTCAAACGCACACTCCTGAGGCTGTGAGACTAATGGATTTCAATCATGACAGTGCTTTAATAAGGACAGTCTGAGCAGCATCCACTACCTGTGTTCTGTAGCTGAATTTCATTTAATTTTAAAGGCCTTTCACACTAAATGCATTGCACGGGGATTAGAGGTGATTATGATCTGGATAATTAAGACATAAAATATAGACACAATTGCTGAACATTCAGAGTCAAATGAAAATTTTAATCCCAGCTCTGAAATGACCTCCTCTCTTCCTTACAGGACTTAAAGGAAACACAGTCTGATACAGAGCTTAGAAATAAATTTATATTATGTGGAAATCAAATAGTAGTTCCTTGTGTGTCTGTTGACAATGTAGTCATTACCTCTGCAGGCCTTAGTTACAGACCCATAACCAAAGCTATAAAAGCATCAGGATATTCCCAAACCATACGGACTTTGAAATTAGGTCTAGTGAAACAGATGCCTGATAGCTCCCACATCCTGTGTACTGCCATTAGAGTTTGTTTAGTTCACACTTCACAATAAATGTAGGTGCGTGAATTTCACCCACAAGTGATCAACAATTGAGACATTCTCATAAGCAGATTGTCTTTCTTTCTTTCTTACCATGGAAAGCTCTGACATAGCTGTTACCCAGGGAAACCAGTTTCTGTAGGCTTGGGTTGAACTCCTCCATCAAGCTCTGTTTGGGAAATACAGAGAAACTTTTAGACCCACCTAAAGGAGAATCAATGACATCCATCTTTAATTCAATCTGTATTTATGAGCACAAATTCTCCATCCCAACACCGAAGCACAGCCTAAGACTTAAATCTCTGGTGTGATAAAGTACAGGAAATACTCCTTGAGTTTGAAACTGTGAATTCACGTCATGTTTGCTTGGCAGAAATTACATTAGAAAGTTGAACTGAGCTTTATTCCTCAGTAACCAAAGAACATTTCCATGTTGTCCAGAAGCAGTGTCACTTTCCTGAAGAGTCTCTTGAAAAGAAATCACAACGCAGGCCACACCACTCTTACAAGTTCTCTTACTCATGTTGTCTCACAGGTTAAGTTTGTTGTCTAATTTGAGCCACTAGCCCACACAAAGTATCTGTTACTTACCGAGTAAATCCCCAAGGTGGAGCGATGCAACTGATCACTATTCATCCCCGACATGTTTATATCCGGAATAGTGCAATGAAATGTCAACGAAACCTTGAGAGGGTCTGTAGGTCTTAAATCATCCGGCAAAATGTACCAAAGCCTCTGTGAGAAAGAGAGAGTTAATCGTATTAAGCTGGACGTGGCGCTCAGCAGAGGATGCAGTTCAGGGTGTTCGTAATCGACACCACTGTGGCCTGAGAAAGACTGGAGTAAATAATTAAACATGGCTCAACCATAAAACACACTGACATATGCAATAAACCTTGACTGTGTGGGCTTACCATACTGTCTGCTTTATTCATGAATATATGAGAGATCTATTTTCACTGAATATTTACAGCAGCAAGATGGTGTATGTGGGATGGCCATATTCATTTTAACGTATTTGTCGTATCGAAAGCAATGCAGCGAGTGACCACTGACCACAAACTTGGATGGATGGATAGATAGATGGATAGATAGATAGTGTTGCAGTAGCAGCGGTTTACATAAAATAAAATACAGTTAACAAACATACACAACACAAAACAAGCATGAGGTAGGTCAAAAAAATATAATTAACAAATTTACAAATATGTCTTATTATACACCCATCAGTGCTGCAGGAATGAGTCCTAAAACCCAGAAATGAGTTAGCATTTTGTCTTTAATTCAGGGGGCATTTTGAGGGTCTTTGATTGGATGCCTTAAATAAGGTCTGTGGTTAACACAAGATTACAAGTTTTTAGGTTGTACAACATAAAATAAATTAATAATAATATAAATAATGTTAAATATAATATGCCAGTAAATACCCTACTCGTGGCCACTTAACAAGTGGCTAAACATGACTACAGAGCTTGTCTGTAAAACTCATCTAATCACTAGTCCTTTTACAACCTTGTTATGATTGTACTCTTGCACTTGCAAACTATTTAACTCAAAGAATGGCAACTGACACAGCCACGACCACTAGCTAGATCAGCTCACATTAAGAGGAAAGGCTTTTGATAAGTAACGTTTGCCTTTTACTTCCGGCTATCCTGTCTTCATAAAAGCGGTGTTTATTTGTGAAGATTATCTTGCTGAACAAAACGTGTAAGTATCATAAACCTTTGTTTACCAGAGAGCTTATTTTCCGCAATAATCTAAAATCCAGTGGAAAAATCCCATTGGCTTTTTTGTCAAGGGAACCAGGGCGTTGCTAACTTTCAGGTTGGCCTACAACAATACGTCATCCCTGCAGCACAGTTTTTAGACTTTGGCCCAGATAAATAATCTATATCAGACTTTAGATGCACAGACAATACTTGATAGTAGAATCACTTCATTGTTGGCTTTGGTCTTTTCATGGGATTTGCATAAAAATACAGCATATCACCAGCATTATCCTTTAATATAATATTATAATATAGTTCTCTAAATACAGGGTTTACACCCAAAGATGGTTCAGAACGAAATCTGTGTTCAGTGTGTCCAACAGATTGAGAACAGCTTGTTGTCCATAGAAACCTACAATAGTAGTTTAGTAGTTTTGTGGAGACCTAAGCGCCTGAAAATAACCTACACATGGAGCCGTGGAGCTGGTATAATTTCAGATGGAAACAAAAGTGAAAAATTCTTGTGCTGTACAGATTGTAAAGTCGTCTGAGGCAAATTTGTGATTTTGCACTGTATAAATTAAATTGACATGACTTGATAAATGTCACAAAATGCACTTATGTGTCGAGCATATTTAAATCCATGATTTACTTAACTCCAATCCTTTAATACAGTAATATCACTCCTCTACAACATTCCTCTTTTTTGATTGGTTAATGCAGAATTCAGTGGTCATATGTGCCAAAAATCCTATAATCCTTGTACATTAATCACTTGAGATGAAAAAAAATCCTACTTGCACAAAATGTACGAGTCAAAAACAAAGCAGTGGTGTACCTATACATTTTTGCATGAAATACAGAAAAGAGAGTTGCTCTACCGTATTTGATCAGTGAGTGGTTACTTCAGCCATCAGCCAGGAGAGGTGCAGGTGCCACAGATATGTATATGCTTTATGAATGGTTGTATGGTTGCATTTTATTGTATTATATGTGAGAGAATCCAGACAGGAAGTAGAGAAGTAGCCTACACTGTGAAACCTTTGGTTCCCAGTTTAATTGTTTATGGTTTAATAAATAACAGTCCCTTGAAGGGAGAGAGAGAGAGAGAGAGAGAGAGAAAGAGAGAGAGAGAGAGAGAGAGACTCTTGCACACTAGATGGCACCATAAACGAACTGGAGACATGACTGGAATGTTAAACAGTTTCATAACACACGTATTTAATCTCTTTCTTGTTCCCTCTTCTCTCTCATTTTCTCTTGATAAAGTGATATTAACTTTGGTTCAATATTTCAGGTGTTAGTACAAACATTCCCTCTGCATACCAAGACTTTCTTATACAAGAAGAGCATAGATCTTGTACAACATACATTATCTGAAAGACCATCAGTGGTGGAAAACGTAGCCTATGCAGATCCATGTATCAGACCAAGTAAAAGTAGCAGTAGGCAATTTAAAAATACAACCAGTGGCAGAAGAAGTCAGCAACAAAGTCCATGGAAGGAGTCAAGTACACTTAGTACCAATAGGAAAAAAGCCAAAAGCAACGTGTTTTAATAATAATAATGTTTTGTAGACGACTTAAGTCATGTGACATATGTTACTTATGTAATGTACTTATTTTCACCCAAATCACACTCTTTTCCTAAACCCAAGTAATTTTGTTGCCTAACTTAACGACGATGGTTTCACAATGTGTAGGTTATGTTAATGGTGCGTTCCAGTTGTACTGGGAAGTCGGAAAGTTTTTCGGGTTGCACTCCCCGGCAGGGAATGGCATGCAGATGAATCAACTGCCCGTTGGGCCATGCCCAGTGAGTCCAGTGACTCAGTCAACGTGAACGCCCCCTTAAATCGGGTTTCTGACTCACAACATCACAAACCCCGACCTCAAAATCCAAGATGGCTGCTCCGAGCATGAACAGAGTAAAAGCTGTAGGAACACAGCATAAATGTCACGTGACTTAAATAACGTACTTAAGATCCTGCACACTTGCAAACATGTCGAGCAGTCACATATGTTGTTGTATTTTCCAATGGACACTGTCCCATATGTTGTTTTGAGACACTTGACAATCTATTTTGTTACTTAGGTGTGAGGTTGTGAAGCTTTCATATCACTGCAACACACAACATAAAGGTCAAGGGTTAAGTCAATGATAAATGGAGCTCAGACTTGCTGGCCACAGAGGCTTTTATAGACATCATACATCAGCAGTGTATTTCGATCATTAACTGGGCGGCAGTGTCCAGAATGCTTCACCCAGAATTGCCTTTTATTATAGCTCAGACTCATTGGACTGAACATGGACTGTGGTGCAGTGTTGAACAATAATTTAACTCCAAAAGAAACCAGAGAAAACATTTTATACTTGTATACCTTAATCACCAAATGCATTCATGTGCAGAGCCGGTGTTTACCCTTCCATCATCCTAAAATACAGAAATAAAAACCAGTTTAAGCTACAATCATCATTAGGTGTATTACGGCGACAAGCATGGGGAAACAATAAGAACCCACACTACTGCTGCAAAGCTATATAAAGCCAAAAATACAAGAAGTTACATTGTGAATACAAATCTCAGATCACACAGATCTCAGACATCATGTGTGATCAGTAAATGTTTTGTGTTTACTTTTTCCAGGCTCTTGTTCCCATCTCTACAGGAGTACTTAACAGCCTACTTTACTATTCTAGTTTTCCAGTGAAGACTGAGAGCTCCAGCTATTTTATGCTGCAGACATGTTGGATGTCTTCTCACCCATCTTATATTAGAGCTTTCAGCGCCTGCCACTTTGAGAAGCATTTGCTTAAAGCCCCCTTAGTACTTGTGTGAGAATGCACATCACACTCTAATTTTATACAGACAAGGGCTGCTTCCCTCACAGTGAAGATTTTTCTCACACCTGTCTTTGTCTGTGTGTGTGTGTGTGTGTGTGTGTGTGTGTGTGTGTGACTTCTGCTACCTTAGGGGACACATTTCAGACTAAAGACAGGTTGACTGGGGATAGCTTGTCCAATTGGGGACAAAAGCTGTGTCCTCTGGGCAAAGGAAGAAAATATGGAGCAACTGGGAAATTGCAAATTGTTGTGCCAGTGCATTTTTAGTAGTGGTAATGGTTTGAGTTGTGGTAAGCTAATGTATGTATGTGTGTGTGTGTGTGTGTTTCTCACTTGGCCTCTCATAAATACTCCTAAATGCATTTTTTAATCATGCATGTGTGTGCACATGCATCACACTGAGGTTAACATGAATTTTTACTGGCAAGCCTGGTTTAATGAAACTCACTAATGGCACAAGGGCGCTCACACACACTCACACTCACACACAAACACACACACACACACACATACACTAGGGCCATGATTCTGTCATCTCTGCAGCTGTAAAGCTGTTCTATAGGGAACCTTGAGGCTAACTTATGGCCATCCACACATCACATTAGTAGGCCTGCAATGTGTTGCTGAGCAAAAAAAGTATTAGGCCAAGGGGAGGGGGCATTCATTCTTTCATCTTCACTGAAAGCTTGAAAAAATCACCCTTGTGTTTGAATCTGCATGCCTTTTAGCACACTCTGCAACATCTATGGGAGAAAAATGTTTGATAATCCTATATCCCCTGTCCACAGTTATAAAAAACATAGTTTAAACACTGCTGGAAAAGTTAGCTTTAGGCAACAGGAGGAAGACAAAATGTACAAAAGGTGTGCTATCAGACTGCATGGAGCAGTCTCTCTCTCTCTCTCTCCCTCCATCTCTCGCCCCCTCATTCTGCTTCAGTATTAACAGGCTGGATTTTGCCTGACTACCGAGGACATGCGCGCTGAACGGGGGAGGAGGTGTAACAAAGACAGACTGCCTGCTTCTGATGTTTTGACTCCATGATTACTCAATTATGGTGCGGAATTCTCATTTTCTAATTGCTTGTTCTTGTAGAAAAGGAGGAAAGTGAAGAGGGGATTTTTTCCCCCTTTTACATAGGCCTACAAGAAAATAATTTGACACTTTTTGTTGTTTTGGAGCTTTTAGTTTCTTACAGACTCAGAGTGTTATTATTAGATATTTCTAATAATTGCTCGCCCCTGCCGCCACCCTGAAGTTCATTGTCATTATCTTAGCCGCCGGGATGGTGGCCTTCATCGGAGCGGTTATCTGCATCATCGCAGCAGTCCACACCGGATCCTCCAGGGCTGCCGCGACACAACAGCAACCAGCAACCGACAACCACTCGCTTTATCCGGACGCGGCGGCGCAGAGCCCCGGCGCGGGGAGCTCCGTAGCCAGGGTGGGATCTTTGGGCGCTCTCCATGGTTCTGAAACGCCAGACTCAGAAGCACCAACCTTCAACATCGGGCTAGGCGGGCTGGACGGGGTCACTGGACTGACCGGGCATGACCCAACGGTCAGTCGACTCATCTGCACGCCGATCCCCGCCGGGGAGTGCAACCCGAAAAACTTTCAGCAACAAGCGGATGACCCGTCGCTGTACGCGGGTGAAGATTGGGGCTACCTCCGCACCACCGCGGAAGAGCTCCGGCAGACCGTTCTGCAGCAAAAGGACCAGATATTAACAGACCAACGGACCATCAGAGAGCTGACTGGGAAGTTGTCGGAGTGTGAGAAGGGGATGGACGGCAGCAGCAGCCGCGCAGACAGACGCGGAGGTGCTGCGGGGCTGTTGGGGGGGCAAAAGCACAGCGGAGGAGACTCACCTGGAGCGGATCATGGTGCGGGACAGCCCGGCATCGACGCCCGAGAGTGCCCACTTGCTCACCGTCAGGGCTGTGGATGAACTGGAGCAGGCTATCACTCAGCTCAAAGACCGCATAGAGAAACTGGAGGTAGGTAAAGTGTGAAAAAAAATCACCTCATCACACATAAATAATCTTCATCATGCGACTAAAACAATATGAATCCCAAGGATCAGTCTTTGGCCCCATGATGGGATTTTGAAGGAGGATCTCTCTATTATAAAATTATAATAATTAACCGAGAATGGTGTTTCATGGTCTGATAACAGCTTTGAATATTAAGCTTTGAATATTAATGTAGCCTACTATAACTCCAGCTACATTTTGTATCATTAACCTATTATAAGAGTTGACATCCATGGCTATATTTGGCTATATTCACTCTATTGTCCCTTTTAGGATTTGTGGGAATGCATGCGTGGTTTATGAAAGAGTGCTTGTTGAATTTTGAATGAGAACAAGTGAGTTATCCAAAGGGTCTTATGTGTGATATTGGATATTGGCAGCCAGATTTTTTGTAAACATCAAGTGAAACCTATTAAAATAGCCTAATAACAGTGTAATGTAAGGGAAAGGAACAAGGTAAGACTCTATTCTTTTTTCTTTGCAAACTAACACTATAATCAATAAAATGGATCATATGATTCAATCTGAAAATTATGCTGATGTTACAATAACATCAAGTATTATTTATTTTGTATAATCATAACTTTGTCTTCTATTAATGCCTTTAATAATACATGAACTGATTGCTTTGGCAATGTTGCTAATTCATCATGCCAAGAAAACAGATTGAGATTTGAAATTAAAAGAAAAACATAGATGAAAAGTGAGGCAGGGGAACAGAGAGAAACAGGGGGAAGGGAGACGAGGATGAAGATGGGGGTGGGGGTGCTGATGGAAGAGAGAAGTATACCAGAACATGATACATGCCCTTATCCGACCAGAATCCAATGATGTATAACCTCATTTTGGCTGAAGAAATACCATACATAATTTATGAGTTGCCTATATTTGTTGAAAGCGCAGACAAACGTGCCTCTCTGCAGTGTAGTACTCCTCACTCAGTGTGAGTTTATGTAGGACATGTCTGTATTGGGTCATTTTCCTTGTGGATTATGCACCATTTGTCTCTTTTCCATATTGCCACTGTAAGATGAAAACCTCCATAATGCAAATAAACAGAATAATCTCCATGTTTGACACTTTTCAGGAAATGGGGAATTCAGACTCACATTTTTCTTTAACAGAATAAGATCTGAATCGATGTTACAGGGTGATATGAAGTCAAACCTAAAACATAATACTTTAGCCCATGCTACAGCTTTTACCATCACATGTCTGTACTGGTGGTATTTGGCCTACTTCAGTACAGTGTGGTGTTTACATCAGATCCTGTGTACTGGTAAATATATACAAGAACAGTACTCATCTGGGAATAATATGCAGGTCAAATAACGGCGTTAAATGGCTTACCTCCCCATCTCTCTTCTTGCGTGTGATCTGCTGATGCAAGTGTTTTTCTGATCATGCATCATGCACACACTCTTAATGACACTGGCTGGATATCCACGTATCTCTCTACAACCAGAAAACCTATAATGCCACCCCACCCATTAGCATTCAACCGCACAATAGCATCACTAAAACAACAATATCTGGTCAGACATGTGAGGCAAACAAGGTGATGTGGTTGCAAATAATGTGAATGTGCAGGAACTTCAATGGTTTTCCATTTCTAGCATCCCTACAAGTGCGCTTGGTACCATAGCCTCTGACAGCAGTTTGAGCAATTATGTTTTTTTCCTGCAACATCAGTGTGAATTCCATTGCTGTACTTAGGCAAAGTGGTGGTTTGAGCTCAATGGTTACTTCAGAATGCTAACAGGCTCACAGTGATAATGCTAACATGCTGACGTTCAACAGTTTAGCCGGTAATGTTGACCGTGTTCTCCATGTTAGTTAAGTGTGTTAGCATGCTAATGTTTGCTTATTAACATTACTTGACAACTTGACTGAGGCTGATGGGAATGTATTACGGTTAAGCAGGTATTGAGTCAAAAACCCACATTGAACAAATAACATTTTTGATCAGACGGTGGCGCTGCATGAAAAGTGAAGACATCGACAAAGTTACTGCAATTCATCCTGTGGGGAACAAAAAATAGTTGTACCAAATTTTATGGTCTAAACCACAAATGTCAACTTCATGGTTATATCTTCACCACATCTGCCACTATAGATTTATTTTGTATGGGTCTACATTTTAGAGCATAGCACAATTTTGTTTTCTCTAGAAATGTTTGGCATCTGCACATGTAAATACCTGTCCTGGAGCGTAACCCCAGGCTCAATAACAGAACTGTCAAAGAGGATAAATCACCTACGATGCCAAGACTCACCATTAGCATACGCATGATTTAAGCACATTTTTTTTAGTGTTAGTCCAGAGAAACTTGCATACCTGTAATTTTGGATTCAGTTCTAATAGACATCAACTGTTACAGTAAATATGATTGTGCTTGACGATAATGACATATTAACAAAATTCTGATATTTACAAAACTGAGAAAAGGCTGGTTGACAATTTTGTTGTTGATTCTACCACAAAATGTCACTAGCCTATATATGTCCCTAGATAAAAGTGTTTGTAGGGATAGAGTGATGAACTGAGGATTATATTGGAAATTAATTATTAATCCATCATGCAACTTTTTTGGGTCAAAAATATAATATAATAACACCAGAACCATTTCAGAATCTTGAAATCTATATTTCGGTAAGATCTTTTTTTAACCACAGTTAACATTAACATCAGTCCTATTCTACATGTGTTGTCACATTTTTACACAGTAGTTGTCTTTCTAGGAAATAATTACCTTCCCCTAGATCCTTAGTTCATCTGTAACCTTGTATACAATATAGGTCAGCAAACTGCACACTGTATCGCTTTATGTTGTGTTCAAAGTACTATATCTGTGTGTAACTTCTATATATATTCCCCCATGGTGTCTTTGTATTTCTACTGCATACTGTTAAATAATGTGCTTGGTGGATATATTGGACCAGGCAGGTTTCAGGAATCTTGCAGAGTCTGTATTTCCCACATTTCTTCCCTTGTGGTTCTGGTGTTTATTTCAGTGAACCATTAAGCAGCGGGGCCCTAGCAATTTGTTGTTGACTAAAATGGTTCATTCTCTAGGCAGCCTTTTCTGACTTGCAATTATTTGTTGTGTTGTACTTAATTAAAAAAACCCTGAAGACATAAGATGGCTTAGCTTAATGAAGATCTGTTCATAAACAAAACTTTATGTGGTTGACACTTTGTTTTGTTAGTTTCTCTCTGAAATTCTATGTCACAACAACTGCTTTTTAAAGATGAAACATTACAATAACTCCAGCATATTGAAACCTTATTTACTCAGCCCCTATCCCCAGACGCGATGTAATTTTCAGCAAAATCAATTATTAATTAGGCGTAATAACTTTTCCTTACATAGGCACGCAACCAACAGAATGTTGAGAATCACTGCTACAGCTGGGATGTGCATTTTCATGAAGTAGTAAAAACATTATATTACCTGAACAACAGCAAGAGTACCTAGACTGTAAAACCCACACTGTGAACTACTTTATCCACTGCCTCCCTCCTCTGCAGTCAGACATTGGCCCATTTCCTCACAACCAGACGGACAGCAACACCTCAGGAGTGCCAGAGGAAGGCGGGATGTCTGGCGGCCCAGAAAGGTTGACTAATCCTGGGCACAGAGCTGGTGCTGACAAGGCCTCGAGGATGGAGGACTTGGAGGGGGAGCTGGAGAGGAAGGTGGAGCTGCTGGACAAAGAGAGAAAAGCCCTGAGGCTGGAAACAGAGAAAAACAGACAGGAAATCGACCGGGGCATCAATAAACTACACCACCGACTCTCAGGACTGGAGGAAGGTTGGTATCAACAGAGGGGAAAAAACAGAAAAATGTGTGTACTTGTGGGTGTATTTTAATGTGTAGATTAAAATATAATAAAGAGGTATACAAAATGTTGAGAGAAATTGTAAGTAAATGTGATTAATCACTTGCACGATGTCTCAAGTCACTAATGATGAGAAATAATCTGGCAAGTTACCTCAGATGTTTCATTTATATACAAGCCTACTCTTAATCAGATTACGCCATGGGGTTTCTTTATGATGAATAAATTATGTTTAACTTATGTAAAAGGCAAAAAGACATCAGAAAGACTATGAAATTCCTGCCCTGCTTTAACAAAAAACAGAAAGTGCAGATACAGTAAATGAGAAAAGCAGGAAATCTATTTGATCCTTCATTGATTTCTCCTTGCCTTCTCTATCCCTTTTTATTTCCAAATTCATGCTCTCTTTCTGCTTTCCCAGGTATCTCAGGGCATTCTTTCCCAGAGGGCTACAGATTGTCCTTCCCAACTCGTACAAACTACATGTACGCTGTTGTGAAACACTCCATCCCAATGCTGCGGGCCTTCACCATCTGCCTGTGGCTGCGGCCGGCAGAAGGAGGAATCGGGACACCTCTTTCTTACGCTGTTCCTGAGCAGCCCAACGAACTGGTGCTGCTGCAAGGCCTGCATAGCCCCACTGAGATGCTCATCAATGACAAGGTATCAAGCTGCATCTGCTCAATATCTGCTCATTACTCAATATGTCAATTATTGTAAGGTAAAAATATAAAAAATTGACTTTGCATGCATCCCTTCACATATGCATTTCAATATACAAATGTGTGAATATGGTTGTGTAATTTAGGAATCTGTTACAGTGAATTTATGTTTGTGTGTGTACTAAAGCGTTCAAAGGTTTTCTTTAAAGGGGCCATGTCTGTTTTTTTTTTTTTATTATTTGTTTTATTATGAATTATTAATTTTTTATTGTGTATTTGTGAACAGGTTGTAATCTCACATAAAAATTTTATTTAATAACTTTCTCAGTCACTTGAAACAGCCACTATGCAGCATCCTATGTGAATAGGACACACACAGCGACAACACTGCAGATAACGCCAAAAACTGCCTCACAGCACAACACCAACAAAAATGTGTGTTTAAGTCTGTCAGGCTAAACGAGAATCCGATCGATGTCGGGCAAAAACATGGTAAATATTAGAAAGGTGTTTATGTCATGGAGAGACCTCTACTTTGTTTTGCACATAAAAACCAACCCATTGGACAAGTAAAATAACATTACTGCAAAACATGTGAAATTTTGTGTTTTAGTTGGCTCAAATTAGATAACGTTAACGCCAACCAGTTGCTAACGTTATCCGTTGCAAAATACTAGCCTACAGTTGTATCGCTTATCACATTACTTCACCAGCGAACCCTGGAACTGGTATTATGTCAAAATGTTCATTTTAGCCTGCAAGGTAATTCCTCCCATCTGCCCCCTCCTCCCCATTTCTGCACTTTAATGATTCTCTTTTTGCGCCACTGCTATGATTACAATGCCATTTGCATTCCTATTAATATTCCAAATCCCTCAGATACATACTAGCTCATACAATGCAAGTGTTTAAATAGTGTTGATAATGTTGTGTTTTTATCTGTATTTTATTTTTATTATCGTTATTATTTTATGTTTTGCTGTGTATGACCTCATGTAACTTAGGTGACCCACATAATATACAATAGTGCAACATAACGGTGCAGCACATCACTACAGTGGAAGACCCTTTCGGTACAGTAGCATTGCTTACTGCGGTCTAAGTGTTGTACTAAAGTGTGGCAAGAATCTAATTTATAATATTCCGTCTAGCTCACCGAGCATTTTCATTATCATACAATAAATTTAGCTATGTCGAAATTGCTGAGCCTCTTTGGTGAAAGAAACACAAATAGTTATTGAAAAGCTGTCAGATAAATGCAATCAATGTAATGTTACCATGTTAACAAGCATGGATTAGTTAAACATCAAGATGATATAAATGTTACTTTAACGGTGCAGTGGAAGAGTTAAGCTTATTGTCTGATGCCGTCTCAGCACATGTACACGCTTGGGGAGGTTTAATAAAAAAGCATAAAGGATAGGATACAAAGGTTTTCAAACACTGATGGCTAACTCTTTATAAATTCCCTATAAAGGCACAGCAACCAGTGTACATATCTTTGTTTACTGATAATTAATTAATCACCCTAGAAGAGTTCACTGCTTTCGATAAGGCTAATCCACTTTTTGAAATTCTACCAGTTGTACTGTATATCAAAAGCATTATAGTCTTGATTGGAATTTTTTCCTGCCTATTACAGAAGATATAGTGACCTGTATTAGCATACAAATATGTAGAACACATCATATGAAAGAGCCAATAGGAGACAGGCTAAATAGCCCCATTCATGTGTTTTAATGTACCACCTTGGCTGCATTGCAGGGTGGGGTAGCGCAGTGGCTTCAGATATAATTCAACAAAGTCATTATGGTAATAGATGCCCAGAGGAAACACTCCATGTCCTTGGAGGTAGCAGAATGTCTCTGGGATTGAAGAAATACTGTCAAGCCTGAAGACTTCTGAATGCGAGACATGTAGAAATATCAGAATACAATCATGTACTTCATTTGAACTGCCCTTTTGCTCTCCCATTCCTAGGTGGCGCAGTTGCCTCTAAATCTCTCCAGAGGCAGCTGGCAGCACATCTGTGTGAGCTGGAGCCAGAAGGGAGGAGCCTGGCAGGCCTACCAGGGGGGAAAGCTGAGGGGCGAGGGTCACACACTGGCAGCGGGACATCACATCAGACCCGGGGGAGTGCTCATACTGGGGCAGGAGCAGGTGAATGCACAATTGAGGGAATGAAAGGCTGAATTAATTAAGTTTTAACTGATGAGCAGCAGGTAAGGCAGGCAGGTTACCCCAGGAGAAACCTAATTTTGTATGCCCTTCAGGCTACTGCTGACTACAGCGCTGTAAGCAAATAGTTAACCCACTGCAACTACGGCTCTAATCAGTTCCCCCTGAGTTGTAAGTAAAATGGAACACTTTGAAAGTCTTTGTGAAAGTACACACAGTAAATCTAAGTTTGATTAGGTTTAGAGTATACTGCTAGGCAAATTGTTGAAGTGGTGTGTTGGGTGGATATGGTGTGTGTGTGTGTGTGTGCATGGTCATAAGCAACAAGGGTAGTCGGCTAGGGGACTCTCATCCACAACCAAAAAAGCCCTCCCATATGGCTTCTTCATTCCGTAGTCCTGCATGCATACTGGTCACTTTCTATCATTTCTCCTTCATCTCCCCTAAAGCAAGTCCACAGTCTTGCCCAAGGCAGGAAAACAGCTGAAACTGAGCGTGTCTGTAAACCAAAGTGTTTTTGACTTTAATCACCTGGATCCTTTCAAGCTTCCTTCCTGTAATCCATCTTCACTCTTCTCGATCTCCAGGATTCCCTGGGTGGAGGTTTTGACTCATCCCAAGCCCTGGTTGGAGAGTTGTCCCAGGTGGGTCTTTGGGACCGGGTCCTGTCTTCTAGCCAGGTGGCAAACTTGGCACGCTGTGGCAGAGTAACCCAGGGCAGTGTGGCTCCCTGGAGCGAGAACGGAGTCGAGGTTTATGGTGGAGCAACCAAGGACCCGGGGGAGCCTTGTAGTAAACACAACAGGAGTTCTCAATGACCGATGGGGGAAGGCTTTGAGGAAAGTAGAAGTGAAGAAGGGTGGAGGGAGGGGTAAAGTTGTAGCGCATTCAAGAAAGTAGAATTTCCTCTGCCCAGGATCCTGTAGCAGTGCTACAGGATTTTCTAAACAACTCTATGCGGCATGGACTAACAAGTATGTAGGAAATGGAAAACGAATGGTATTTATTCATATGACCTGGATAGAGGCTTTGCAGTTACTTCAGCAAACTTCTAGCAACCACAGCCGATGTTATCATCGAGGTCCACTGGTGAACTGTGCAACACAAGATGAGATTCTTCATAAATTTAGCTGTAGTATGGATATAGATCAAATTTTGTAAGTTACAGCTCATACTTTCTGTGTTGGCAAACCAGCTAGCGGTCTAATTATTGAAAACTAAAAATGTTAATTTTAACATAAGTATACTAGCAAACAATTGAACCCTCTCCTAACTATTAATTTGTGAGCAAAGGTGAATTAATATGATTAGCTAGCTAACAAACTGCCATTATCTAACATGTTGCTTAAACATTGCTTTCTTGAAGAGAGTAAGATGGAATACCACTCTTCACAGCAGCTGGTTATAGTAATCAAGCTTAGCATAAAATTAAAAACAGGGGGCAATGGCTAGCCTGGCTCTGTTCAACGGTAACAAAATCCAAACAAGACGTGTTTATAAGCGAGCTTTAGAGGTGAAAATTTGTTACCTTTGGACAGAGCCAGGCTATCTTTTAGCCCATTACCAGTCTTTATGCTAAGCTAAGTTAGCCGGCAGCTGGTGGTAGCTTCAAACGTACATGTGAGTGATATCAAAATTCTGATCAAACTCTCCGCAAGAAAGTGAATAAATGGTTTTCCCAAAATTTTGAACTTTTCCTTTAAACTGATCAGATTACTGGAGATGATGCCATTTAACAGCTAAAACTTTGCAGAAATCACCACTGTCTATTTATCCTGTTAATCCTGGTTGTAAAAAACTCAAAGAGTTGACCTCCACTATGGCTGCCAGAAGTTGTGTCAAGCCAGCTGAAATCCCTCCGTGAGAGCAGTAGGGTCGGAGTGAAGTTAATTAAGGGCTGCGACAGCTTTAGAGTCTGGAGTCAATGTAAGGTGATGAAAAATGTTGGGGGAAGTGGTGGGAATATTAAGTAGTAGGCTAGATGGCAGCAAGGAGTAGATGATGAAAGAGAATGCAAAGAGGGAGGAAGGGCAAAAAAATAGATAGATCAGGCACTTTTAAGGAGTGATGCTACATTGTTTTCACCTCTGCATGATGTATTCATATACCTGTAATGTCTTGCCACTGCACTTTCACATAGGAGAACAGTGTCTCCTGCATCCATGGCTGTCTTGTGTTTGTCTATAAAGGCCAGATGGTCTCTTTTATTTGCTAAAGATGTTACTGAACAAATGTAAGGAAATCAGCACTTCTGGCAGAATGTTTTGGGGGATTGGTTTTCAGTTTTGCACTCACAGTAATTTTAACATTCTTAGATATAGACTGTTTCCTCTTTGCAATTGTGTACATGCAACCACTCAGTAACGTGGTTTGACAAATGAACAACCTGCAACCTCCAACTCTTCCAACCTTCCTACATTCCATGCATGATTTGTACTATATGTTTGCCTTGGTGCATCCAGTATCTTTCTGGAAATCCATCTCTGACCATGTTTGTACTCCAAAGCCATTTTGATGACTATTCTCAACTGTTGTGCGAGACATGATGTTAAATGCAGATTGTTCGTTTCAGAAGTTCTAAAACACTGGCTCTCCCTAGAATAAAAATAATCCTTGGTGGAAAGTGCCTGTCAGGGTGTCTGTGCCCATGTGAAAAAAAAAAAATCATCAAATGTATTATTCTGATGGAAAATTCACACTGCAAGCTATTTTGAACTAATTAAGCATCAGTGTTTCTGTGAATTCCCTGGTGATTTTTTAAGATCTCAGAGGTTTGATAAAACATTTGAAAACAGCAGCAGAGGACTTCTGTGTCTGATGCTCGATCTGGTCAAAATCATCTTGCTGTGCCTCACAGTGTCTTTGAAGATGCCTCTCAATCTGCAGCGTTATTGTCAATATTATGCCTGATGTCTGTTTGACTCATGTCAGAACTTTTTCTTTTGAGCTTTTTGATAGTGATGTGGCATTATTCTGTTTACAGTAATTGGAATTGAAAGCTTTTTAACTCTATTGGCAATGTTTGTCTTTACATATGAATTCTGTTTTTTATCCACTGTATGCATTGGTAACTGTCTATTTCATGTTGTTGTTTGGATAAATACCGTATGTCCATGTCTTGTATGGTGTTGTATTGTTGCTGCACATGTGCTGTGTACAAACGTCAAATCTTTATTAAAGTCCTAATTTTCCGATGTAAAGAATGCCATTTTGTTGATATCTAATACATTATTAGTGAATTAAAAGACAAGAGTGAATTAAAAGACAAGATTCTGTCAAGGACATCCACAAATATACACACATCCTTGTAATTTAAGTGGAGCAGTAAGAGAACCTGCTGTGAGAGCAAACCCTCCTACTGTGCTTTTCAGACTCCACAAGAAAAATACTTTTTTCTTCAATGACAGAAAAGACAGTATTTCTTCCCCTAGTGTTCTCTTCGTTCTCCTTCCAAGCAAATTAAAGAAGAGAGTTCAAGGAGAGATGCCTGGAGCCTTCTCCCTCGGGTGCAGCGGGTATAGATGTAAGTTAAGAGTAAACTGAGGATTTAATAGCCAAGGTCAGCTGCTGTGTCTCAGATACTCATCTAGACGTGAAAAAAATGGCTTTAGTTCTGTAGCACATGCTTTAGAGGCATATTAAGGTTCAGGACATCACATTCGGTCTTAAGTGGACAGAAGAGATATGAAATTCGCACAGAAGATATGACAGTTTTCTGTATCCACTAAAGAGTATATTTATTGTTTAGGTCTGTCAAGACAGATACATTTTATATGCACTCTGATGCTTTTATATACAAAAACATAAACAAATCCAAAGAAACAGACCGGCGATTTTGGGGAAGCTTACAAATGTTTTTTTTTTTTTTACCATGCATTTGAGAAATAGATTGAAACTGATTTTAAACAAATAGTTTGGCATTTTGAGAAAAATGCTTTTTCACTTCTTAAGATTGATACCACTTCCATATCTGTCCACTAAATATAATGCTACAGCGAGCAGGCAGTTAGCTTAGCTTACTATAAAGTCTGGAAACAGGAAGAAACAGTTGACCTCGTTCTGTCCAAAGGTAACAAAATCTGCCTACCAGCAGCTCTAACAGCCATTACTTAACATGTTGTATCTTGTTTGTTAAATCTGTAGAAAAACTGAATCATTTTAAGGGGGGGCTTTTCTAGGCCGGGAGAAGTGGCTTCATCATCTATAGAGGTATTTGTGGTTGTTATAGGCGGAATTTACAAATCACTTCTCTGATTTGATCAGTTCACTTCAAAGACGTGTAGTCACTCATTGTGTAGTTTGTTGTACGTCCTAGCCACATCACCTGCAGCCCGATGTTCAGCACTGATCTGTTTTTATTTCAGTAATAAGTAGTTTAACTTTTTGCTGTTTCAAGCTGTTATGTTCAGTAAAAAACTAGGTATATGAAGCACTGTACATAGGGGTAATAGCTCAGAAGTGATTACAGTTATCACATCACGATTGTTTCTGCAGCTTTCATGGTCTTTTAAATTTTGGACAGAGCCATGCTAGCGTTTTCTCTCGATTTCCGGTCTAGATAATGCTAAGCTACCCAACTGCTATAGCCAATGTCTTATATTTAAAGGAGCAAATATGAGAGTGGTATCAGTCTTCCCATCGAAATAATGTCAAGAAAACAATATGGAGGATTTCCCAAAATGTTGAACTATTCCTTTAAATTCAAAATTTAAATTCATGTCCTACATCATAGGCAGATTTAGGCCACCCTACTGTGCTGTGATGGCTAGTACTTATTACATAGCGCAGCTATGGCCCTGGATAATAGAGATCTTAGGTGGTCCATTGCATGTGACTTATTGCATACAACCTCTAGTTGTTTTTTTTATGAAATAGGAAAGCTCTGATTAGCTAATTACCACACTGACGATTATCCTTCTGAGGGGCATACATTAAAATAATAAGCATAGCCTTTTCCCTAGATAAAGTTACAAATGTTTTATTTGAATGCTTTAATTTTAAATAATTTGCCTATATTGTTATCTTATACAGTTCTTTAACCCTTTGTTTCTCTTGATGGCAACACATGGTTCACTGAATAAAGTTACGGTAATGAATACATGATTTACTGAGAAGCAAATGTGACATGAACAAGATGCTAAACTGCATAGTTACATTGAGTTGCAACCAGCAAGTACACAAATGGTTTGTGCGTCAGTTAATTGGTCTACAAGTTCACAGAGATATATTTTATTTATAATATACTGTATCTAATTACACAAGATGTATGATCTAGGTGAATGAACTGTTTATGGAAAACCCTAAGGTGAAAGCTATCAAATTGTACAGTTGTTTATTTTACTGCATCTATCCCTGTATCCCATTACTATGTAATTACCATGTCACTGTATATATTAAAATAGACCCATTCAATTCTCACTCTGCCTTCATTCTCTCCACCTCTCTGTCATCCTCCATTCTCACCCTCCTCTCATCTTCTCACTCCCGCTCTCCTCCTCTCAGTGACATTTCCACTTCAGACCCCCACGTCTTCCTCCTCCCCCTCATTACTCAGTCCCTGCACTCCTCCTGTCGCATTTCTCAACCATTTCTTCAGCCAAGGATGAAGAGTATGGTCTAGCTCTGATGTAAATGAAAAGTGCCCTGAGCTAACTTCTGTTATGATTTGGCGCTATATAAATAAAAATCAATTTAATTGAGACATCCTCAACACATACTGACAAAAATAATAGAGATGCATACACAGCACGAGGCGCTGACTCTTCAAGGTTGCCGCAAATGAAACTGTTATTTTTACAGATATGTTCGAAAGAAATTAAAGGGAGAAAGCATGTAAGGGATTTGTAAAAACCAATAGCTATGAGCAGGGATTTAAAAACAAATCCATTTATCTATGCTTCTCCACCTAAAGACATAAGTCATGCAACATAATAGTTTTAGTCTTGAGTTTCTCTTGGGCCTCTGTACCAACACACTGTGGTGATTGACAAGCCATTAAATGACTGATAAATTTCCTACCAATGAGTTAAGCCACTAACAGATACTGTGCTGAGTGGCACAACAGCAATATCTGTAATCCTTAATTAGCATGAGTCAATCCGTTCAACCATTCCAGTGTATAAGACCAGACAGAGCACAGTTGGTCCATGCTATCTTCTCTTGTAGTAATGGACTTACAACTTAAGTCTGCTATGTGTGAGAAAAAGATATTTGACTTCTTTTTGCCATACATGTAGCAGTGGGCCTAGCACTGAGTCTGTGGAGGCTGAAGAGGTTAAAACATTTGAATCATGTCATGCAACAGGGTTTTTTGTTTTTACTATGTGTCTCTCACTTGCAATTGTACTGTGGCTTTAACCAAATTGCCTGTCACAGCCAGCTTCTAACTGCATTTGGCAGGCTGTTTCTCAGAGGCAGCAAATGGAGGAGACACAAATTCACGTGTTATTCTCACACATGAATTCAGATCCCTTTTTCTCAGTTTATGATTTTTTTTCCTGTTTTGACACCCCAAACTAAGTTATTGCAGTTAGGAATTGGTGTCTTGCTAAAAAATAGAAATTTTGAGTAGAGTGGCAGCCTGCAGCATTGGGTTTGAAGAATAATAAGTCACAGGACACTGTGACAGGAATGGAACATACCCGCTACACCAGGGATTTAACCTCTGACCTTCCGGTTCCTGTAAAACCTTTATGACTTCCAGGATGACTGCCTTAACCATCCACAGCCAGAAGATGATATTCCCTGATGGATTACCAATCCCTGTCTAATCCATAATGTTCCATCTAGGAATGGACAGATTGTAATCCCATATAATCCATGAAATGGATGGACCAACAAACAGTTTGCCTCGAATTAAATGAACTCTCAAGCCGCCAAACTACTTCATGCTAAAAGAGTCCATTAGTCCACCATGTCACTGCATGTGCTAAACTGTAAAATGAAGCTCATTGTTCAACAGATCTTTGGCCTTGAAGTTGCTTTTTCGCTCCATGTCAAATGAGCAGCAAGTGTCTGTTGATCACAAAATGAAGTGAAG